CCCTCTGCCGCATTATTAATTTCCATTTTCAAATATAAATAAAGTTAGCTAGATAAGATAATCAGACGGATATCAATGTTAGTGAATTAGTGTTAAGTGTGTATTAATAATAACGTCTGTCCAAAAGTAACGTTGAGCTGTTCTCTTTTTTTGTACACCAAATCCCTACATTAAATTCATTTGAAATATTGTAAATATTACGACCTAATAATAAGCATGTGCATAATAAGCATACATGTGTCATATGTGCACGAGAGAGTGGAACATATTAAAGGCAAAAATTTATATTTTATCACGTAACTACTGCCTAGATAGACATAGTTACACAGCAATGTATAGATTTCTAGTTGCAATAAATACTATCGGTTTCTTTATGTGTATAAATTATTAATAAAGAGAGTTAAATATTTTAGACTTATTAGATTTAAGTCATGTCAAACAAATTAATGTACAAGCATCAAACTATCGGTTTGAAGAAATTTGATGAGCAATACCGAGAGTACAAGTAATGTAATGACTTAACTGCAATAACTTAATATGCGGTCGAAGGCAGCGTCATATCACAAGAATCATACAAATTTTGATTTATTTCAAACATGAATTTTATGTACATACCTTTATTTAATTATCCCATTATATAAGTTTTATGAATTGGTTATGGAGTGGACTAATTAATAAATAAACAAGTGTTTTTATAGACATTTTTCATTTATTTACCTCATCTTTCAAATTTCACTGTAGTATTTGGTAAATTTATCTGACTTTGGATGTATTCAATCCATCAACAAACTCGTTGGATTAAAACTGACAGCAAAACCTTCTGTGTAATGGGCATCTAATGCGGTGATTGACGGTTGCATGAAATTGATTGACAAATATCTGGATATTTTGATTTTTACGTCAATCAACTATCAGTCACGAATTTTGATGCTAATGGCATTTCTTCAATCACGCGTCGTTGTTGCTAGTTTTTGTTCGGGAGTTATAGCTTTTCGCATACATGTATCTTGTTTTTAGGTGCCCATTACACATTAAGCCACATTTACACTCAGCCTTGTTGGGCAGGGAAGTAAGCAGAGAAGTGGGCAGCGTGCGTATGTAAATAGGTTACTCGCCCTGTCACCGCCCATGCCGCTGCCACTGCCTCGATTGTCGGTTTTTCGCGCGAAAGTCTGACGAAGGACGGGCAGCGCGTCTGCGGGCCATTGTTTACATTCTCGCTCACTTGCCGGTTTGCCTCCGAAGTTCGACCGAGAAAGAACGTACTGCGCTACGTGTTGTTACCTGACTACGGCAATTCGTTTATTAATCTATCCTGTGTTTTAACTTATTATGCTACCGCCCACTCTACTGCCACAGGAGTGGAGTAGTGGTAAAACAATTAAATTTCTAGAACTTTATGAAATTGAGCGGGTAATATGGAATCTTCATGATAAAAACCATAAATTGAAGCTTTATAATACACTAAAATAATTACTTATACTGAGCAGACATATGCTGCCGCACCATCTACCTTTACGTCAGTCATTGTTTTTTTTTTATATCGGGTGACAAACGAGCACACAGTCCACCTGATGGTAAGTGATTGCTGTGGCCCGTAGACATTACATCTATCCTCGTTTCCGAATCAAAATGCAGATGCGTTGTCACCCGTGAGGATTAAGATGGAATGCACCTTTTCAGTAAAAAGGGTCTCCGGTTCTCTACACTCACCATACGAAACAAAGCAGTATTAAGTTGCTATTTTCCGCTGGTATTCTGTGAGATGCGAGTTGATCAATAAAATATGAAGGCCGAGTGTGAATACCCACTCGCGTCGTTATAGTCGCAAACGTAAGTTAGGGAAATATTTCCGGCAGCGACAGGAGCAGTGGCAGTGGCTGAGCGTAAATGTGGCAGTAGGTTTTGCTGTCAGTTTTACAATAATCGCGGTTGTGATTGACGAATAACCTACCGTGTAATGACGGTTGCATGAAATTGATTGACAAATGCCTGGATAAATTAATTTTTTCGTCAATCAACTATCAGGCACGAATTTTGATTGAACGTGTAATGGCATTTCGTCAATCATGCATCGTTGCTCCTAGCTTTTCTTCGGGAGTTTTTCTCATACAAGTATCTTGTTTTTTTAGATATGGTATTACCAAGACCAGTAACTTATCAAAACAAGCCTCTTTCATGAGGAAATTTGCAATCTATCCTCTTTTGAAATCCGTATGTCAGTCAATAAGTTAATATGGGTATAAAAATCCCTTCCTTTTTAACCTGTCTTTTACCCAGCGCCTTCTTTTTATACCTACGTTTTTACACAAAATTGCAGCACAGGCCTTTTCTTGTGAATATCCATCCTTTCCTTCTGAAATTTTGGGTTTGACTGACGATCAGTCAGAATGAGCGTGTAATGTCGAAATTATTCTATCATTCAAACATCAATCATGATTGATCGAACTGATTGACGCTTGCCTAGACGTGTAATAGCCGCTTTAGATATCGTGTTACCAAGACTAGTAACTTATCAAAACAAGCCTCTTTCATGCGAAAAAGTTTATATTGGTATAGAAATCCCTTTTTAAAAGCCAGTTTTCTTTTTATACGTTTTTACACAAAATTGCAGCACGGGCCTTTTTTTATAAATATACATCCTTTCCCTTTGAAACGTAGTGGTGGAAGGAGGACGGGGACAAGTCATGCGTAATCTACGCATACTTTTCGAAATGTATCCTGTAGAACGCCACGGGCTATGGATGATACATTGCACTTGTGCCAGAGACTGACAAGATTGGTTCAAATCTATCAACCAATCAAATAATATCACCAAAAATTACTCTGTGGTCATCAATAAGCTTTCCAAAGTAGCTAGAATGGTATTTCACAACATAGATAAATAGATATGTAGCGAGCTATTTGGCAATACCAGGACATAGGTGACAACAGTATTTCACGCACGACCATCAAAATTAACAGCGACAGCGTTACTTATTTATGTCAATTGATTTTTAGCAAAGAGGGCATTCACAACTTTTTCTGCAACCAGTGCGGCGCCACTTAAAAGTGAGATAAAATATTTGACAGATTTCATAGCGGGAAAGCTAATTTTTTCGAAAAATGTAGTTTTATGTTACTTTTTGTACTATTAGTTATATTTTTTATTCATCATCATCATCATTACAGCCCTTCACAAGTCCACTCCTGAACATAGGCCTCCCCCAAAGAATGCCACAAAGCACGGTCCTGAGCCACCTGCATCCATCGACTTCCTGCATGTCTTACCAGGTCGTCACTCCATCTCGTGGGGGGACGCCCTACACTTCGCCTACCGGTACGAGGCTGCCACTCGAGAACCTTTCTTCCCCATCGGTTGTCGGTTCTTCGAGCTATATGGCCGGCCCACTGCCATTTCAGCTTACTAATCCGTTGGGCTATTTCGGTTACTCTGGTTCTACTGCGGATATCCTCATTCCTAAGTTTATCACGCAGAGAAACTCCGAGCATAGCCCTCTCCATAGCTCGCTGAGCGACCTTGTGCTTCCTCATACGGTCAGCAGTGAAGGACCACGTCTCAGTTCCGTAAGTCATCACTGGCAACACGCACTGGTTGTACAATTTCGTTTTAAGGTTTTGAGGTGCTGCCCAGCCGAGTTGAATCCGTCGATTGACCTCTCGGTCGAAGTTGGACTTACCTAGTCGGACTATTTGTCCCAGGTAAACATACTCGTCAACAACTTCGAGCTTAGTGCTCCCAACAACTACCGGCATAGGTGTGACATGGACATTAAACATGATCTTTGTTTTGTCCATGTTCATCTTAATTTTTTATTAATTAGATTAAAAATTAATAAACCAAACCGCAGAACATTAATAAAAGTAGAAAAATAAAAAAGGAATAAAAATGTGCAAAAAATTAAAGAGCAAACCACTAAGGCATTGTTTTGTGTATTAATTTATTACTTTAGAAACTGATAAACTTTTATTTAAAACTAACCTCTCAATTTAATGACATTATGTAACAAAAAGCTTTACCTCAGTGTCAACTAGCGACATCTGGTGAGCGGATTGCACAACATAATTTCAAGTAACTGGAGCGACTGCAAACTTCCCTTGTCTACAGTAATCATCAATACCTTGCCTTTGCTTCTACTGATTTACATTTTTTCGATATGTTTTGTACAGGAGAAAATAATCCAAAGAGCTTATTTCTTTTTATAGCTTAGGTATCACTCTTTGTCCCATTCCATATATCACATTTGGATCACAACTATTTTATTTTATTTTTTTATTTAACAACTATTGTCTTTCTATTTGATACAACCTTGGGAATTAAAAAGATAATATATTTATTACTCAAAACATATTTTATTGGACGGAATTTAAATGAGACAATATTTAAAACTTACATCTAAATGATAAAAAAAAAGTTAGAAAACACAATATTCTAACAATGTAAAAATATTCAGAGTAAATACAATTTAATCGGCATAGAAAATTAATTAAATGCATTATAAGTGCCACTAGAACTTTCCAAAGTCAGTTTTTATGATAAAAGTAAGCTAACTTACATTAAAGGCACTCTTTAAGTCTTTAAGATTTGTTACGTGCATTTTAAACATAAAACTTAAATTAATTATTAGTGTTAAAATTAGCTTATTATTAATTAATTATTTTATTTCTATTTCTATTACACATTTTTTAATATATCTTTATTGCAAAGAAAATTTCACCCATTTTGCAGAGTACAAAATATACAGTATGTAATGTGTCTTTTTAAATTTTGTTTTGTCATCAACATATAAATGGAAATTGAAGTGGTTTATGTTGGAATAATTAAGCATAAGAAACTTTTTGTTCATATGCTTCATCTTCATTCCAATATTCTTGATCAGCGAAAGTAGTATGACGTAATTTGCACCAGCGTGCCCCGAATCTTAGCATTAAAATAATAACAGTCAATACAAACATTGAAAGGGCAGCAATGGCTGGGTAAAGCATTAAAAATGCCATTTTTAAATATCACTCTCTCTTTTGTGTAAGTCAAGGTATTCGTGAGATGATGTAAGTGGTTGCTGGGAAATTGAAGGTACTACTGGTTCGTGTTTATGAATCTCTTGATAATCCTCTGAATGGTATGGGTGACTGTATTTAACTGGGTGATATTGACTTTCTAGCTCGGTAAAGTCAAGTGGTGGTTGTTTGTGTGGAGTAGCTGACCAGATAGAGACTATCCAACGATTACCTGAAAAGTTTAATAACTTTATTAGTATAATATGCCAAGTGTACTTAACCTTCAACTGTGGATGTGGGGTCTCACAGACCTTCCGCACTTTGATTTCTTAGAATAACATATTTACCACCACCCGCTGCGGGTGGGCGTCTCAGTAGCTTCTAGTTTAGTCACCAAATGTTCAATGAAGGAGGAGATTGTGTCATCCAGTGCCATTTTTAAAGTTTAGACGGAGTCTGTGATAACCCATGTCCATATTACCTTAAAAAACATTATTATACCACCTTTAGCTTTGTTTTAGATTTTTGTTGTTCAAAATGACTGAAAATAGTCAACCAAGTTCTTCCGAGTCAAAACGACCATTAGAACAAAAAAGTACAAAGACCAACAAAAATATTGCTTTTAGATGATCCGTCTTCTAGAGATGGTTTGAATTCTTGACTTGAGTGGTATCAATGATAGCATATTATATGCTTAACATGAAAATAAGGGAATAGATTGAGCTATCTTTATAAAGGCGATTTTTCTAGCGATTTTTAGCTTGTTCTCTAGTCCCACATATGCAAAGAGGTTATATCTCGACCAAAGCTTTACCAAGAGAATTCAGTAAGAACTCAGTAAAATTACATTTCCCTAGGTCTGCAATATAAATAAAACTTCTTTCAATATCAACTTTTTGTTAATATAAACACAAATGAGTTCTTAATGCTTGTAAGTAACAGTATATAAAGTCAAACTTGAAGATATCACCTCCTTGCAATGTCCTCAGTGTAGGTTATTAGAACATATTGAAGCCTTATTGAAATTGAATGTCAAATGGCTTATCAGTGTACAAAAATTATACAGTCCTTAGCGGCACTCTCAAATATAACTATTTCACAGAGTTTAAGTGCTGAGAAAATCACATATATATATATATACACATATAGAATATGTATAAAACTAAGGTTTCAAAAGAAATTACTAATAAAATATGATTGCCTACACCCCAAAAATGACTTATGTAGTACTTATTATTTGAAATTAAAATTACAATAATTATTATACTGAATAATTTTCACTTATTCAAAGAATTAATTACATAAAAACAAACACGCCTAGCTATGGATGTAAAAGAGGCCAAATAGCGACTACCGACTTCTATTTGGCCTCTTTTACATCCATATATCTCACATACATGCTCATTGGTTAAGGGTACTCTTAATCTGACCCATCATCAATATATCACTAATTTGGTCGATAAACTTTCACCTAGGCCATCTCATACTGATTCTGCCGTGCACTTCTGCAACATAGATTTGCTTTGTCACCCTTTCCTTGTTCATTCTTTCTACATGACCAAACCACTGAAGCATTCCTTTCTCAATTATGGTCATAACATCATCTTGCAAACCACATTTTTCTCTTATCACTCAATTGCTGCTGTTTCGTATGGTGAATGTAGAGAACTGGAGACCCATATAACTGGAAATGAGACATTCCATTTCAGTCCTCAGGGGTGGCAACACATCTGCATTTTGATTCTTAACCCTTTATAGGACGGTTCATACAAAGTGGCCAGTCACTTGAAGGTCGTTATCTCATAGATTTTTATTTAAATATTGAATCTTATCAACATTTACGAACCATGTTAGAGCACACTGGCCCGTTGACAGACTAGCTTTCAAGTTCGTCACGCACAATCAAAGATACGCGCCTTTTTTGAAGATGGCCTGTCTACTGGCCACCGTGCACCCGCGCATGAACATTTGATGTCATCGCGTGTGTATGTTACATGTTAACAAGTGTTATGGCAATAAAAAAAACTTGTCTTCTTAGAAAAAGTAAAAGTGTAGTATATACTTTGATGTTATGTGCAAATGTAATCGAGGATAGTAAGAAAAACATGTATTTTTGGCAATTGAATACAAACCGGTCTGTTGAAAAAATATACCCTAAAAATTGCCTACCTAACTTTGAGCTATTGTATTGAGTATTTATTTTCGAGTAATACATTTGAATGACATCGTTTTATAACAAGTAAATAAGCATTTGTTATAATAAAATAAGAAATTTACCATAAACAACTTGCTCGGTAGTTATAACCTATTATTATGAATGCTTGGGTTTTTTTTCGCCGTGTTTTTTGCAGGTATGCAGGTACTTACGAAAATCGTTATATAATCGTTTTGCATTGTAATTTCCACATTGTTTTAGATACACTCTTATCGGAAGTTGGAGTAACTAGATGAGGACTGATAGAATGTCTTAAGTATAACAGATGACCAGGCCAATCGGACGTCAGTGGTGATCCAGATGCTGATGATAGTTTCGACAATAGTGTTACTTTGAATATACCAGCATTCTGAGCACACATAGTCGAAGTGACATATCAGGTTCTGGAATATCGTCTTCATCACAACCACCACAGAAGTTTTTGTTTCTGCCACCATCATCTATACCATCATCGCCACCTCCACAACCGCCGCTATCTCCACCACCACCGGCGCTAGCACCGAACCCGACAAGGTATTACGAGTTAATTTCTCCCAAAGACCCAGGTTTTCAAGAGAATTTAGTAAATGGAGATCTCAATAAGTGAAGTAATGAAAAACTTTGAGATCCACCAATGTACAGGAATAGTAACTTTAATAATACTACATAATACTAATACTTCATACAAACCGAAATTGATATAAATTCACAGGAGATCGATACCTTGGCTTCCTTTTCGAGAAAATGAAGAGAGAGATCATAAGCTTATAAAATCTAAGAAAAATTTGCGTAGATGTAGATACTGCAGTACTGCATCTAAGCCAAAGAGAAATGTCTATGAATGCGTTCAATGTGATGTAACTATATGTGTAGAATGCTTTGTACCATTCCATAATGAAGGGCAAATTAAAAACCGAAGGTGATCATTCCATTGATAATATCTATAACTATGTAGGACTGTGATAAGAAAAATTAAAAAAATATCTTTTAAAAGAAAAATGTTATGTTAATTACATTTGTAATTGATGACCTGTTGTTTTCTCTTAAGTATAATATGTTTTATTATTAAATGCTGACTAGGAAATTCATAACTGAAGTTGTTTTTAATATCCCTTCACAAAAATAATATAAATTTCCTTAGTGTCCACTTTACTGGCCAGTGATTTTGCAGTGATGGTTAGTGACTTAGAACGTTCAGTGGCCAGCTTACTGGCCACATGATTTTTGGGATTTTCTCGAAAAACAATGATTTTTAGGTTTTTTTTTTCTGAAACATGTCATTATGATTTACGGCACGGAATACATATGTATCACAAAATATTAGAAATTCAAAAAAAATTAGGGTGTGCGTTAAAGGGTTAATTGCGGACAAATGTAGATGTCTATGGGCCACAGCATCCACTTAATATCAGAACTGTGTGCTCATTTGTTACCCTTATTCTATAAAAAATCTCATCCTTACTCCTTAATGACTGCACTTCTATCAGCAGCATTTATTCTACTCTCGTTCTTCTGCCACACTCAATTTTCACTACCATACATTAAGGTAAGGACTAAAACAGTATTGTGAATTGCCATATGTGTCTAATAGAATTAATAAATGAAGCTTAATACAGTTTATTATTAATAAAAAGAAGTATGGAGCACTAACCAGTGTGGCGATCCAGCCAATAGTCTGAGTATCTCGAGCAGCAGCAAACAATATTTAGGATAAGTAAAAAACCTAACACGACGGAACAGATTGCGATAGTAATATAAAACGGCGTAAAATCACCCACTCGGGAAACTATAGGATTTATTGCTTTGTATGTGCCATTCCCTGTAAAATAAGCGCGAGGTTCATATGCCGACATTTTCTTACAAGTAACCGACCTGCCAAAGAAAAAACGAGGTCAAGAATTTGGAAAAGATCCGATTAGAATACTAAAAATATGAATTCTTAGCTTTGTAGCTTTCTCTACTGTTTCAAAAAAATAGAACGGCTATGAAAACTGTACGGTGCCAACATTTTTAGGGCGTGGACATTCAATTTTTATTAGAAAGTAGGTAATATTAAAATTATATGTGGGCATTGAGATAAATATTTTAATAAGCATATAAAAATTAAAAATAAATTATTAAAATGTTAAGTTGCGTAATTTATTTACGAACCTTCATAAAACTTAAATTCAGTTTATCCTTTCAAAACAACGAACAACGCGATGACTAATTTTTTTTTGGAGTTTATGGCCTGGCATCTAGACCTTTAGGCCAGCGCGATGACTAATGACCACAGTAGTGTGACCATCTTTAAAATACAGATCCTGCCTTACTTTGGTTAAAAACCTGCCAAATCCTGCCAAAGTCTATAGTGAAAAATGCCTAAATACTGCCAACTTTATTTACCATTATCTAATTGTATCTCTTACTTTAGAGAAGTAAAAATACACATTTAAATGCTATATTTTTATTAAATTAAAATTAAACATCTTCCGTTAATTTTAATGCAATGCAAACGCCATGCTCACCAATGCCTTGTTTAACGTGCAAAATAGGCGCTACATGTTCGTTTATACCTAAATCAGTTTCGTATTTTTGTCTTAATTAGATTTATTTGACAGAATATTCTTTCTCATGTTGAATCCAAACATATTTTTGGAACGAAGTTCCTTATCGGACGGTACGAATTTGGCGGATGGGGACTAGGCGAGAAAAAGTGTAATCTTTTAAGTGACGACCCCTTCTGACGTAGTGTAGACAGCCTTGCGAGAAAGGGAGATGAAATAATATCCATCTCCCTCGCACTTTTTATTATTTTGCCATGAAAGAAATATTATTTTATCTTAAATGACGCTTCATTTTTAGACGCTAATAATTCATTCATTTGTTTATCAATAATAATACACTACAAAAGGAACTTCGTTCCGATCGAGATTTCCACAAAACTCACGGATGTTTTTTTATGTTTACTAGCAGCGGCATGCTCCTTTAAAGCAGACAGCCGGTATACCAATTTGGATCTTATTATCTTTAACTTTGAAGATCCACGATCAAAGTAAAGGACCTTGCTCCCACTCCGCTCTATACGGCCTTTCATATTTTTGCTTCATCATCACCACCAATAATTACTATCGTCCACGAAATATCATTAAAAAGATATCACCACGAAATCTAATGCGATAACAAACTAAAGTATGTACGTCTCTTCTATGACTAATTGAAATATTAACCATTAACTCATGTTTACGAATACTCGTTTTAACATTATCAACTTTACACTCATACTTTTAAAGTTGTTTATTGAATGTGATGCAAACATAACACTAGAAGTACAGGGAAATCTTCCACATGCTGGTGAAGGACATAGGGTTGCCATTTTCGGCATTTTAAGTTGCCATAATGAAATCTATTTTTAATACTCGAATACTGCCAAATACTGCCAGGTTTTATAAAACGTCAACCGGTCATGCCAGAGGGTAAAATAAGAGGCCAAACCTGCCAAATTGGCAGGAACCTGTCACATATGGTCACACTGGACCATAGACAAAACATTACAGAGTATTTTTTTTGTTGGAGTTTATGGCCTGGTATCTAGACCTTTAGGCCAAGTCTTGAGTATTTTTATTCGGTTTATTACAATTTCCCCATTGTATTTTTGATGAATTTATATAGCGGCACGTAATAGGATCTATTTTTTAAATCTTTTTATCACTCAGGCGGCGGGAGGGATCTTGCACTGTCACTTGATTTTGCACCATGTCACTAATTTCACTGACAAGAATCAATCTGTCAAATGAAAAGCACTCACACATAAAAATTGTTGCGTGCCACTATTAATGTCTCGTGCATGGCAACACTAGTTACACTAGCGCCCTCTAGTGTCGAGTAGCAGAACTAGGAGAGTCAAGATCCTTCTAGAAATTTCGGGACCGATATGTACTCGAACATTCTAGATGCCGCTACAGTAGAAGATTCTGGAAACTATCTGAGGCCATATATAAGGCCGGTATAGACCACGACCGAGGCAGTATTGAATTGGCGATACAAGAGAATACTTCGAAGCGAAACAACTGCGAACTGCGATCTGTAGTACAATTGTGTTTTATTATTAGTGTGGTTTTATATTGTAATTAGTGTTGTGTAATTAAAGTGTCAATTTTGGTAATTCAATCGGCAGTTTTAATTGTCTCGAACCCCAAGCTCGTAACAATTAGTGTCAGAAGTGGGATCAAATATGCCGATTTTACCTAAAGACGACACGGAGGGTATCCGTACCCGAAGTCAACGCCAACAGGAGACGGATCAGAGACGATTTGATAATGCAACGCCGCAAACGCTGCTAACCACGGAGGCCGGCCATCAGCAGCTACTGCATCTGCAGCACCTGACTAAGGTGCTCTGATGATGATGCGGCAGGATCAGGCTCACCGACAGGAAGAACAGGCCCACCAACAGGAGAAACAGGCTCGCCGATAGGAGAAACAGGCTCGCCGACAGGAGGAATAGGCCCGCCGACAGGAGGAATAGACCCGTCGGTTGGAAGAACAGCTGCAGCGCGGTATGGAAGAGCAGATGCTGCTCAGGAAGGACCTTCACGCTACCTTCGGGAAAGAGATAAAGGAGGTGGAGGATAGGGTTGCTCAACATGACAACCGGCTGTCGGAAGTTGAAACCCGAATGGAGCAAGTGAACAATCGGGTTGACAACGTGATGGTTGACGTGAAGAAAACGCTGGACGACCTCAAAATTGGGGATGGAGTTACAGCTCCCGTGGTAGCTACAACACGTGGATTCAAAGTGCCGCCGTTCGACGGGACTTCTTCCTGGTCGGCCTACAAAATCCAATTCGGGGCTGTCATGAAGGCGAACGGCTTGTATAAAAGTCAGGCCATGACTGCTCTCACCCTAGGCCTGCGCGACCAGGTCTTAACTGTTCTGGAAGCTCTCGGTAAGGGAGTGACTTACGAGAAGCTCCTTGAGGCATTGGAGGCGCGATATGGCGACGCTCACCTGGAACACGTCTTTCGTGAGCAGCTCAAAGATCGCGTGCAACGCAGTAACGAAAACCTGCAGCAGTGGATCTTTGAGGTGGAGAAGCTGGTTCGAAAAGCATACCAGTCTGTACCTGCGCTCATTGTACCTGGTGCAGACATTCATCGACGGCATCCACGACCTTGAAGTCATAGCTGCTGTGAGGCTCGGGCACCACGAGACGCTTAAGGACGCTTTGACCCATGCACTGGAGGTGGAAGCCGTCCGGCAGGATCATCGTTCCCATCGCGTCAGGGAGGTTGCAGCAGCTACAGTTCCGCAATAACGGCTACCGCCCTAGGTGCTACGGCTGTGGGGAAAGGGGCCATCTTCGATCCAGCTGCCCTAAGCGAACTGTAGAAAGGGAAGGTGATCGATCTCGAGAGGGTAGTGCGGCTAATAGCACCGCCTAGCAGCAGCAGGGAAAGGAGTAAAAGCCAGGACTGCGGGGCGGTTGCTGGCTGATGTTAAAAGAGCCCCAAGGATTTCGATCTCACAATCCCATGATGGGAACAGCCTAATCATCTAGGGCGAGGTCAACGGAACGCCGTGTGAAACTGACCATAGACACTGGAGCCCCTCGCACGGTTGTCAGTTCCCAACTTATAAGTCAGTTCCTTGGGGAGTCCGCATACAACCGAGAACGCATTAATTTGGTGACAGCCACCGGTCAGCGCATACCCGTCCGTGGAGAAAAGGAGATGGAGTTGAAGCTAGGCAACATGATCTACCTGCATAATGTCATCGCGGCTGATATAATGGACGACTGCATCCTGGGCCTAGATTTTATGAGGAAGAATTGTTGTGAGATCGACGTTAAGCAAGGTGTTTTGAAATGTGGACAAGAAGAACTTTTCGTGGAAGGGGCGTTACCAGGGAATGTGTACAGCCTTAAGAAGATTGTTCTTACGCCGAGATCGGAAACGATTGTGCCGTTTAGACTTCCTCGGAATCCTGGACAAACTCTTCGTAGTGTACTCGTAGAAAGGGTAAACAATGACCTTCCATGGAAAGTAGCTCGAACCTTGGTCAGAACCGCCGACATCTCAGGATTACGTGTGCTGAACCTATGTGATCAGGAACAGATTATAGAAAAAGGCACATTGGTTGGTACTAGTGAGGAAGTGGATTGGTTGCGTCAGTGCCAATATCTATCGACTGGGAACCCCAGCAAGGATGGACAAACGAGAGTGACCACACTTTTAGAAGACTGTCGCAGCGTTCTCTTCCTGAATGAAATGGTCAAGGCGAAGAAGTTACTCAAATACGCCAATGTTTTCTCGTCAAACGAAGCTTATAGGAAAGACTAGCTTAGTTAAAGACAAAATAAAAACAGGAGAAGAATAACCTATTCCTCAGCGGCTAAGAAGATTGCCTGTAGCACGTGAAAAGGAAGTGGAAATCATGATTGAGGGAATGGTGAAGGATGGTGTTATTGAACCTTCATCTAGTCCATGGTGTTCACCTGTGGTGCTGGTAAAGAAGAAGGACGGCATGCGGTTTCGTGTTGACTACCGCCGCCTGAACGATGTTACGAAAAAGGACAGCTATCCCTTGCCAAGAATTGATGACACGCTGGATATGCTTACAGGCGTAAAGTGGTTTAGTACGCTGGACCTGAAAACTGGCTACTGGCAGGTTGAAATTGACCCTAAGGACAAGGAGAAAACTGCATTCTCCACAGGAAAGGGTCTGTGGCAATTTAAAGTCATGCCGTTTGGATTGTGCAATGCTCCAGCAACGTTTGAAAGGTTGATGGAGCTTGTACTTACCGGGCTAATTGGAGATGCCTGTCTGGTCTACTTGGATGACATCATCATTGTAGGCCGTACGTTTGAGGAAC